GTACTCCGGTATATGCCCGAACTCACTCGTAACCTTTCCGGTGTCCAAACATAGGCTTCCAATATATCGATATTTATGTCTCGACCATTTCAAGACTACTCGTCATGCCCGTGATCACATCCGGGACTCTGAACAACCTTCGGTTCATCAAAACACATAAACTCATAATACCGATCGTCACCGAACGTTAAGCGTGGGGACCCTACGGGTTCGAGAACTATGTAGACATGACTGAGACATGTCTCCGGTCAATAACCAATAGCGGAACCTGGATGTTTATATTGGCTCCCACATATTCTACGAAGATCTTTATCAGTCAAACCGCATAACGATATACATTGTTCCCTTTGTCATCGGTATGTACTTGCCCGAGATTCGATCGTCGGTATCTCAATACCTAATTCAATCTCGTTACCGGTAAGTCTCTTTACTCGTTTCATAATGCATCATCCCGCAACTAACTCATTAGTCACATTGCTTGCAAGGCTTATATTGATGTGCATTACCAAGAGGGCCCAGAGATACCTCTCCGACAATTGGAGTGACAAATCCTAATCTCGATCTATGCCAACTCAACAAACACCATCGGAGACACCTGTAGAGCACCTTTATAATCACCCAGTTACGTTGTGACGTTTGGTAGCACACAAAGTGTTCCTCCGGTATTCGGGAGTTGCATGATCTCATAGTCATAGGAACATGTATAAGTTATGGAGAAAGCAATAGCAACAAACTAAACGATCATCGTGCTAAGCTAACAGATGGGTCAAGTCAATCACATCATTCTCTAATGATGTGATCCCATTAATCAAATGACAACTCATGTCTATGGTTAGGAAACATAACCATCATTGATTCAACGAGCTAATCAAGTAGAGGGAAACTAGTGTCACTCTGTTTGTCTATACATTCACACATGTACTAAGTTTCCGGTTAATACAATTCTAGCACGAATAATAAACATTTATCATGATATAAGGAAATATAAATAACAACTTTATTATTGCCGCTAGGGCATATTTCCTTCAGAGGAGGAACGTGCAGTCTTCTTGGAGTAGTAGTATTTATAACCGAGTACTAATACGCTCCTAAGTGGGAAACCGTTTAGGTTTTGATCGGTGTGAACTGGTTTGCAATTAAATATAGCATGGTAGTAATTTGGAATGTGACGGGACACAGGCTCAAAATTTATTGACGGTTCTATAATTTCTAAGTGTGACACTATTTCTGGATGGCGTAACGTGAGCACGCTTTTTCGGCCGTGTACGTGGCATTTGCACCATAGGGTGCACCTCAATAGGCAATGTCAACACACGTCTTGTTCCAACAATTGTGCACGCTTGTTATTACCATCACACACACTTCTTTTAATTAGAATGTGTGCCCACCTAATGCACACACGTTGATCTGTCTAACTGTTTCTGTTTGTTGTGGCTAATCGCAAACAGTTCATTCGTGTGAAGTGTATATCGTCAATTGCAGACACACATTGTTCTGTCTAACCGTTTCTGTTGTGTTGTCTAATCGCAACAGTTAATCCGTGTGAACTGCATGCCCTCAATCACACACACCTTCATCTGGCTGCCCGTTTCTGTTGTTCCGCCTCATCACAAACAGTTAATCCGACTGAACTGTATGACGTATATCGCACACGCCTTCATTTGGCTGCCCGTTTCTGTTCTTCTTCCTCATCACAAACAGTTCATTGAACTGAACCGTATGCCCCGCATCACACACGCAACTAAAATCTGAACTGTGTTTGATGTATCTGCCATCGCAAACATTTTGCATTTTTGATCATTTTTACATCACCGTTTACGATTAATGCATCACATACAGTTTCGTCGAAGGGTCTCTAATTGTAGTATCGCGTTAGTAGCATCCTGCAGTACTGCTCGTTCCATAATACAGACCCCGTGACTAAACTCATTAGTCAGATGAAGCTTCTTATGATGTTGTATTACCGAGAGAGCACAGGGATGTCTCTTTGTCACATGGAGTGGCAAATCACAGTCTCGATCCATGCAACCCAATAGACACCTTCGGCAATACTTGTAAAACACATTTATAATCACCCAGTTATGGAGTGACATTTGATAGCACACAAAATATTCCTCCGATATCCGAGAGTGGCATGATCTTATTTGTCTAAGGAAATGACACTTGTCATGAAGAAAGTTGTAGCAAATAACTAAACAATCTGATGCTAAGCTTACGGTTTGGTCCGTCCATCACATCATCTCCTAATGATGTGATCCCCTTATCAAATGAAAACTCATGACTATAGTTAGGAAACCTTAACCATCTTTGATCAACGAGCTAGTCTAGCAGAGGCTTACTAGGGACACTGTGTAGTTTATGTACTCACACGTGTATTTAAGTTTACATAGTTTTGTTATTGCCTCTAGGGCATATTTCCAACAGTCCGCCACTTGCACTAGAGTCAATAATCTAGTTTACATAGTTTTGAATCTAACACCAATGGAGTCTTGGTACTAATCATGTTTTGCTCGTGGAAGGGGTTTAGCCAACGGTTCTACCACATTCAGATCTGTATGAACTTTGCAAAGTTCTAAGGTTCGTGCCGATGCAAGTTAGGGCTCCCTTTATGCAATCAAAGAACTTTTTTCGTATCAAGTGGGCTTGTTTGGGGCAATGCAGGCAACCAAACACACCCGCGAAAACTTCTAAAATGAGTCCGTAGAAAAGGAGAAAATTTGGCTCCCAGGACGAGATGCTCGTGTGGATGAATAGTCAAATCAGAAAAAATAGCAAACAAATTCAAAAATTCTAATTTTTTGGTCTGCACGATGCTCGAATGCATGACACTCGTGCAAAATTGGCTGGTGTTTAGAAGGTTGGAAAAAGCGATATGTGTAAGCGAGGCAGTTCGCCTTTGCCTAATGCCCAGGCGGTGCTTAAGCGCCCTAGGCGCAGCCTATGTAGTTTTTTTACTATTAGGGTGTATATGTGGTTATTATATGTGTACTTTATTAATTTAGGGCATATAAGAATGTTAACTACCCGTTACTACAATTGGAATATGGCCCTTTTGGCATATCAGTGCAATATGGCATGATTTCTCGCTTGGGTAGACAATTTCTTACTTGCTCTGCTTAGACTTCTGCTTATGCCCTAGGCGAGGCGTTTGACCATTGTCTAGCGCCTAGACGTGCTTAAGCGTCTCCTAGGCACTGCCTTTTGCAACAGACTTTAGATATCTGAGTAGCTCTCAGAAAACAATTAGCTTGTGAGGAAGTTTGAAAAAACGCATTATTTAGAGCTTATTTTGTCTTTTTGCCACCAGCTTCTTGAAATTGATTTACCCATGCTTTTTTGCACGCTCCTGGCATGCTAAACCATCTTGCATGAAAAAACAGAACCTTTTGAATATATCTGCTATTTTAGAAACTTTTCAAAACGGTTTAGAAAAATACAATATTGGCCCGACCTATTAGCGAAGTGTCAAAGACTACACCTGTGCTACCATGTCAACCAATATGTATCCCTCGTTGTGAGCGTTTACATGAAAGTCGCCCATAGAGGTATCTAAGCGGTAGCGTACTCTTCTGGCCGCTTATTATATTTATTATTTATATATCTATGACTTGGTTGATTATCTTGTTTTTGTTTTCTTCTTCTTGTGGTTCCTTTTCTTTTTTCCATTTACCCCATATGTGCCTTTTCTTTCAAATTCATGAACATTTTCGCATTCGCGAACAATTTTTGAATCCACCGGCTTGGGAAGCTTACCTCGGTCTTGGGAAGCTTAAATATTCAGTATGCATTTACAAATCTCCAGTGTGTATTGGAAAAACTTCACCATAAATTAAAAAAAAGTTCATTGTATGCTAAAAAATTGTTCAATGTATTTTGAATTTTTTTCACTGTATTAAAAACTATTCAATATGTATTTGCAAAAACTATTCACCATATGTCAAAAAAATGATCAGCCTGTATTTAAAAGATGTTCACCATATATTAAAATTTGTTCAGTGTGTACTTGGAATATGTTCACAAATTTCTGGGCCTACAAAGAGGCACCAGAAAATGGAATACCATGGACTGTTTATGAGCTGATTTTTTTTTTTAGAATTAAATATGGGCCAAGTGGGCACTGTGGTTCTGGATCCGGGAGATTGTGGCCTTTGGGCTTGCGTTTCGGAGCCCGGAGAAGTCGCTCCACTGATCCAGAACCTTCTGAGAGATCGAGTGGCCTCTGATTCGGCCCGATTGCCCGTATATAAAAGCGAAATGGTTCGGCTCATTTGGCTAGAACCCTAGCTCACGCACGAACCCCCTCCGCCGCCGTCCTCGCGTCTTCTCCTGCGCATCTCGGAGGTAGGCTTCCCCCAATCCCGTCCTTTTCGCACTCAATTCTGCGCCAGGCAAGGGCCCTGCTGCAGCGATCTCGTTGGAAATCCGTCTTGTTCTGCGGTAGGGGAATTTTTGTTGGATGCGGAGATGAGTGTTCCTGTTTAGTTGTTGCTTAGTTGTCGCGTTTATCTTGCTTAGTTGTTGCGCCGCTAGATCTCTAGCTTGCGCCTGCGCGCCGGGTTTCAGGAGATCTGATTTCCCCATATAGAAACACGGCAGGCCATTACTGTGTGATTCTTGTTTACCCAGTGAAGATGCAGAAACCCCCGGGTCTTCGAAGGCTCGAATCTAAGATGCACGGGGGATGTTTATTATTGTTCTTTTCGTGCACAACTTTAATTTACGTGCATAACTCCATTCATTCATTCAAATCCTCCGATGTTCATCTCTGATTTCCGAGTGGAAAATAATTGCTATGGTATTTAGTGATTTCATATCGTAGCCACTTGCTTTCATTTGGCCTTGAACCCTAGTAATTTTGGCATTCTGTGTTTTTGATTTTCCATGCGTCTTGCTGTCGATCTATTTGGATCTGACAGTACTCCCATCTTGAGCATATACTTAGCCTTCCATGCCGTTTAACTTTAATTCTGTTTGTTTTCAGGTGCTTCCTAGTTTCCACGATGAAGCTGATCGCAGCCTACCTTCTCGCCTACCTGGGCGGGAACTCTTCCCCAAGTGCCGCTGACGTCAAGAACATCCTTGACTCAGGTAATTCTTCTTTGTTGGTTTTAAGTTATACTGGCTCAGATACTCTCTACTTGGGTAATGCCTCTAGCTTCCCTTATGGTTTGACCTATTTAGCATGGTATAAAAGATAAAATATTTGCTGCACTACTTGCTGTTTGCTGAATATAACATAAATCCAATCTTTTCACTTTCAGTCAGGTCATTGAGTACTATTATATTCTGAGGTTTCAAATGTGCAATAACTTATTGCTTGTTATGATTATGGTCGCATATCAAAACTTGTCAATTTGGGTCCTTCATGAGAGGATGTGAGACCAAAAAAAATGCTTATTGTATTTGTTATTCATGTGAGAATCTAGTTATGATATTGTGCATATCATCTGACTTGGAAATTGCTTGTTACAGTTGGTGCTGAGGCTGATGAAGAAAAGCTTGAGTTCCTTCTTGCTGAACTCAAAGGCAAGGACATCACAGAAGTGATTGCATCTGGAAGGGAGAAGTTTGCCGCTGTGCCTTCAGGTGGGGGTGCCATTGCTGTGGGAGCTCCAGCTGCTGCATCTGGTGGTGCCGCAGCACCTGCTGCTGAGTCAAAGAAGGAGGAGAAGGTTGAAGAGAAGGAAGAATCTGATGAAGTAAGTATTTTTCCACCTTGCAATGGTTTCTCAGTCACTTTAGTTCTGTGGCCTTAAGTTATTCTAGCTGGACTTACATTGTAGCAAGCAACCCACATTCAACTTTGTTCAGCTGTTGTTGTTGCAAGTAGTGACTTTTTAGTTTTGGCATGACAAGTACCATTTCAAATTCACTGCCTAGTTGCAAGTAGAAGCTAGAATTCTTTCCGCAGCATGCAAATTGTTAAACCTGATCACATACTCCCTCCGTTCGGAATTAGTTGTCTCGAAAATGGATGTATCTAGAACTAAAATACGTCTAGATACATCCATTTCTGCGACAAGTAATTCTGAACAGAGGGAGTACTTGTATGTGAATTATTGTGAACTTGCTGACATTCTCGTTTTCTTTATGCAGGACATGGGTTTCAGTCTGTTCGACTAAGCGCTTCAGTTCCTCCCCCCTACCCTCTGTTTACCCTAGTATCTGTCGTGTGTGGCCTGCCACAACAGCGCCTGCATAATATCTAGAGACCTGAAGTTCGTGCTATTTTGCTTGGGACAATGTATATGTTTAGTACCTTCGTATGTGAGTGTGTTACTGCTTCCGCAGCCTTGAGAAGTTGATTGATAAATCGCTGGAGTTATGTTTCTCGCACATGTCTTGATGTTTGCGGTCGATGATAGTGCACATGATCTTTTGATGTTCTGAATGGTTTATCTGGTGAAAGGATCTTGATTTTCTCTGTGACTGAATGGGTTTTCTCTGGGATGGAATGCCCTTTCCTCACACTGGTGACTATATGACCATTTTTCACAGTGAGATCTCACACTCGCTTCTCTGAACAGATAAAGGAGAATGGAGAAGCAAACATAGATTTGAATAAATTGGTGGACACTTTTTGACAAATATTTCATTCATATCATTCATTATTCATTGGATCTTCATACAACTGGGGTATTGTGAGCTTTGACGAGAGGCACCAGAAACAGCAGACATCACCTGCGATACTTGAGCAAAGAGGAAGGGCGATGCTAGGTGCCGGCGCACCGGCTGAAAGTTTTGGCCGGTCCTGCCCCAGCCCTTGGAAAAATGAAAAGTTTTGGCCGGTCCTGCCCCAGCCCTTGGAAAAATGATTTGTCCTGGATGCGGAAAAAAGTTGCCAACGTTGACATAAAAAGTTTCAACCATATATTTGAAAAGCTTCAAACGGCTATCAGCGACAAAAAAGTTTTGGTTGCAGTCCGCGCGCGGTCATCTTGGTCATCGTCGTCGCGCACCCCGGCTGCCACGGGGTTGAAGCACATGGACATCGCCCCGGCCGCCGCGGGGTTGCAGCACATGGACATTGTTGTGGTAGCAACCCGTCGTCCTCGGTTGCAGCATCTCCCATGGTCACCCCGGTCGCCTTACATGGATGTAGCAAAAAACTTCACCGGTAGAAGCAAAATTCTACTATGGTTGTAGCAAAAATCAAACACTGTCGCGTCTTTCGCGAGGTCGCAACTCCGCCTTACATGAATGTAGCAAAAAACTTCAGCGGTAGTAGCAAAATTTTACTACGGTTGCAACAAAAAATGTCGTTGTCATCGTCGCGAGGTCGTAGCTCCGCCTGATGGATGTAGCAAAAAACTTCACCAGTAGTAACAAAATCCAATTGCGGTTGCTGCTTCCCCTTGTTGTGCAGTTTCATTGAAGCTTTTCTGTCTATGGTTGAAGCCTTTCAACAGCTGTTTGAAGCTGTTCTAGGCGGGGTGCATTCAGCCATGGCGGCAAGCAGCCATGGTGTCCGGTGAGGGAGTGCCTGGCCGCCGGAGACAGAGGTCGTAGTCGCCCAGTCGCAGCCGCGGGGGAGGAGGGGGGAGGGGAAGGGGGGATGTGCCCGCGTGAAGGCTCAAGATAGGGGATGGATCTGGCCATGGCGGCAGGCAACCATGGCAGCCGGCGAGGGGAGCCTGGCCGCCGGCGATGGAGATCGTGGTGGCTCAGTCGCAGCTCGGGAGGAGGGGAAAGAGGGAGGGATATGCTTTCAGGGGGAGGCGCTCGCGAGAGGAAGAAAAAGCACAGAAGAAAAAAAATATTTTGCTTGAGGCTCATCTAACGTACGTGGAAAAGAGCGAGTGAGGGGCACCGACCGAGCGTTTAGCCGGTTCGTCGATGCCAAACGTTTCCCAAAGAGGAATCAATTAACAGAGAACGCTAGCTAGTCTGTTGGTGACTGGCGACCACCATGGTGGAACAGGCAACGGCTCGATGATACCTTGAGTCAAACTTTCTAAATATTAACCAAGTTTATAAAAAAATATTAACATCCAAAATACCATTGTCTAATATATATTTTTTACAATGGAAGTTTGGTCAAAACTTTTTAAAATTTGATATAGATCAAAAAAATGGAGAGAGTATAAGCCTTTTCCTTCCATTATCTGCTTAGTAACGCTCTAAAACGACCTCTGGTCCTGACCTAAGCCATAAAACAGTTCGGTCGAATTAGAACTGCGAGGGATATGAGTAATACAAGTTTGGCCTTGAGTTCTCTCAAGGATTACCAAAACATGATTAGAAGAATTTAATTGCAGCGGATATGATTGAAATGCTATCTTTAATTTCTCCACTTCTCAACATAACCAAGCTATCACTTCTCAACATATCTTCAGGACATTTTTGATTCGCAGGATTTTAAAAATAGAGAGTAGGAAAAGTATAGGATCGAAATGTCATGCCCACTTGAATCCTATAGGATTAACAAGGAGCGTTTGATTTCACGAGAAAAGCAAAGGAATTGTAAAAAGATGTTAGAGTTGATGTTAGATTTCCTATGAAATGTAGTATAAAAGATTCCATTGAATAAATTCCTATAGGATTCAGTCCTGTGAATCAAAGGACAAATATGGAATAAATTTTAAAGGATTTCAACCCTCCAAAAATCCTATAGAATTCCCCTGAATCAAAGGAGCCCTTAATCTACTGTATTAAGTTCAACACGCCCAGCAGCCGGAGGATCCAAGGAACAGGATTACTGGACATATCATGTGTGTGGTATAAGTGGAAAGCATAACTGAACTGATTCTTTTCCTTTCACATGATCATCATCAGAACGAGTTGTGATAGATTGTTAAATAGAAATCTCACAGAGACATACAGCGAGGAGCAGGCTTTGTATTGCTGGGGGAGCTTGTTTTTTACGTGATTGCTGGGGGAGCTTAAATAGCACATGAGATTCTTTAATGCTTCCGTCGGTGGAGTTCTCTTCACGTGAAGAGAATCAGGGAGGTCCCAAATTCTCCCATGATGATCATGTCACACGCTTCACTGCAATGCGACGCAAATAGATGCAGCAACCACTGTTATGCAATGCAGGTAGATGTAGCAACCACTGGGCCAGGTTTATTCATAGCATGATGCCCTCATGATGTTTTGCTCTTTCATGCCGCCCGATATGCTGCTCTAATATGTTATAAAAGTTCACCAGAGGTATAAAGCACCCCAAACATAATAAAAAACTAGATCAAGGATCCTAGAGCATCGAACGACTATCACCATCGTCATAACGAGCCACCGTGTCTCCAAACCACCCTGCCTTTATTGAGGACGCTAGGAAAGCCTTTGTACATGTGCCCCTAGGGACCAATGAGCCACAATCATTGGCGTTGAATCTTGAATCAATCCAAGGTGTCTAACACCAAATCTCGCCATTGCACATGTACAGAGAGAAATCCTAACCTCACCGCCCCAGTGAGACATCAGGAATCTACACCGGAACTCCGTTGAATACATCCAAATAGACCACCACGAGGAGGATTGGAGCTCTGAAGACCAACTCGAAGAAGAAGCACCACCACCCTCCTGAATGCCGCCCCGCGAGGAAACTAGTGGCCAAAACAGAAGCACCGGGATTCGCTGCCCTGCAATCGGCCACCAGAACGACAGATAAAGGGGAGGTGAATCCACGGACTTGCCGGTGGTGCTTGAAGGGAAGGTGTATGCCCTAGCCGCCACTTTAGGAAAAAAAACTTTTGCAACTTGAAGGAGGGGATATTGCAAGAAAAGCGACGACATATTGTCACTCCATTGCTTTGACAAACCCTGTTGATAATCATGATCCTTCTTGTGCCACCCATGCAATTGTCGCTCTTGTGAGTAGGTGGCATATAAAGCTTTGTGTTAGTTCAAGTGAAAAATGAAAATACAAAAACTAAAATTTATCAAACAAATACTCCTTTTTTGGTAAAATGAATATAGAGATATATCGCTAATCATGGGTGAGGAACTTCTGAAAATTACGAGCCATAACTTCAGGCCGATTACCCCTAAAAGAAATTGCAGATTTATTTGGGTCGCCGATTTCATCAATGAGCATGGTGCATGGAATGTACAGAGACTTCAGGAACATTTTTGGGAGATGGATGTCCGTGAAATTCTGAATATTCGCATGTCTCCAAGGAATGGTCAGGACTTCCTAGCCTGGTTCCCAGAGAGGAGTGGCCAGTTTACTGTCAGGAGTGCATACCGTTTGGCCTCTGAAAATCAGGGCGATACCGCGGCACTGGGGGCGTCCAACAGTATTCCGTCAGGTCGTAGACCTACATGGGAGTGCCGAAAGAACATGCGGTGCCCCCATGTTTGGTTTTGGTAATTGATGAAAATCTCTATGGACTAATGGTTGCCTTGAGTTATATTTGAAGGTTTTGTCCATAGGCTTTTCTTGGAGTACATATGTTGGTTTCAAGAAGAGTTTGTGTTGACCAAGGTGCTATTAAGGAATTATCCAAAGCTTGGTCATGTGAGAGTTGAGCTTATTGCAAGCATGTCTTGAAGAAGAAGATTGTGTGATCATTCATGTTTACCTTCAAGACATCATCCAAATGAAGAGAGTTGGAAAGATTCAAGGTTGATCAAGACTAAGTCAAGAGTGAATCAAGTTGATCAACTCACAAAGCATAGAAGATGTACCGAGAGGGATCAAGTGATCCCATAGTTTGGTAAGCATTGTCCATTGTGCTTTGTGTACTAACCCATGGTCTATGTGAGAGTTCCACATGGGGTTAGGTATGTGTTCATGGGCTTGCGTCAAGAGGAAGATATCACTCAACCCATGGAGAGGATGACATCAAGTGGTGATCGTCATCAAGATTGCCGTGTGCAAGTTCAAGTGGATCATCGCGAAGAGATCAAGTGCTTGAAGCTTGCCGTCCATTGTGGTGACAATGGACTTGTGAAGATGTGCCAAAGAGTGGCTCACCCATAGTGGACTATAGGGGAGCAATCATCTAGTCTTCATCGAGCCAACGCAATCAAGAAAGGTGGTCCAACTTGAGGGGGTCAAGATCGTCATCATCTAGCTCAAGTGGACCATGTGCAAGGCAAATGTTTGCCCTTGATAGGTTTTCTATTTTACCGGTCTCATGGTGGTAGTTTGGAGACCGGTTATAGGATCGTTTGCC